GCTGCTGGTTATATGGCTTATCTTGGGATCTCTTTCTTTCTGATGCCACTGCCAGGGGCCAGCCAGGGCTACTCCACTGTCAAGCCCTAGTCCCATTGCAAACCAAAACCCTCTCTAGCTCCCCTTGGCCCAACCAAAGTTGCTGGGGCTAAAATAATATAATAGTAATAAGACTACCAGTAGTGTGGTACATAAGACAAATGGACAGGATGCATAATTAGAACATAAACCAACTCTGACTTAAAAACGCATGTTCTAATATCATTTATTAATCATTTAATAATATGTCCTCTTGGGATCCATGTAAGATGCTGTGTACCCTTGCTGTCCTTCCTGTACAAAAGGGATGGGAGGAATCTCTATAGAGTGCTGTCCGTTAAGACACACAGGAAGTTGGGAATAACCCTTGCCTTGGTGAAGCATGCACAGGCAGATATGAGGCAAGCAAGATACAGACACTTCAGGTGTCTCAGCTATCTCCATTTCACCCAAAGGCACTTGGAAAACTGACCATTTTCTCCAAGTAGTGGGGGGAGGGGCTCTGATGGGCTAAGTATGATTCTGTTCACTTGATAGTGACTTGTTCAGGGATGGCTGTGTGACCTAGTTCTATCCAGTAAAATGAGAAGAGAGGGCTTGCTATATGCCTCTGGGATGTGCTTTCACACCACGATAGAGTCCAAGGAAATCGCGTTCTTCTCTCTTCTGTGGGATCCAAGCAAGGACACATGAAGCCTTGTAGAATAAAAGCTTTCTTTCTGCTTCACATGAAACGAGCCAGCCTTAGACTGGAGCCACACAATCGAGAGTAGAAGAGAAAAGAGAATTGGCCCCTGCATGATACTGTCAGTTTCCAAACCAACAAAACTAATGCCCCTTCCTTTAATAACAGAATGAGTACAGTCACCAGCCACTCAAGCCAAGGCTAGGCTTCAAGTTTCTACTATTTGCAGCTAAAACCCATTAAAGCAGAAGAGTTTTTACATGCCCTTTGGTGTGTGGGGGCGCGTGGGTGTAAGAGTGTGTGTGTGTGTGTGTGTGTGTGTGTGTGTGTGTGTGTGTGTGTGTGTAGGTCAGAGGACAAGGTTCAGGAGTAAGTTTTCTTCTGTCACCTTGTTGAGGCAGGGTCTCTGCATTTTGCAGCATATTCCAGTTTAGCTGACCAGTGAGCTTAACGATGATTTTCTCGTTTCCACTTCTCATCTCTTTAGGAGTTCTGGGATGATAGATGTGCCTACTGCAACCAGCTTTTTATGTGACTTCTGGGGATTAAGGTCAGGTTATCAGGATTGCACTGCAAATGCTTTCATCCAATGCATCATCTCCCCAGCCCTATTTTTCTTTTACAGTTATATGAATGTATGCGAGTGGCTGGGTGGCTGGAGATAGAAGATGGATGGACGATGAATGGATGGATGGACAGACAGATAGATATTGGAAGTGTGTACTGTGTTTAAGGTAAGGAAAACAAAGACTATTCAGGGAAAATTTGCCTTTAATCTTTAAAAAATAATCCTAGCAGATGTGGTTTCTAAAGAGACAGACTAGGCCATCTGCATTCCTATTTGTTATCCTTACAGAGTTAACATAGCTTCACATACGCAGAGCTGGCTTTTATGTAGTTCAAAGTGATTAAATGTCAGCAAATACACAATACAAAGAACTAAGCAGGGGCCACTGTGGGGAATGGAGGAAGCCCTGAGTTTGTGAGGTCCTGGTGAATGTGTGTGGTTGACATGGGCCCAGAAGGAAATAGCAAAGCCTTCCTCCTGGGGTGAAATTCAGAGAAGACAGAAAATCCTTTCTCAGGGTCCAAATGTGGGTATCGATAGATAGTGTGTGCAGAAAATGTCCACGTCAGCTTTCTCCCCTCAGATCTTTACAGCCTGAAGAGCGTTCCCTTCAGAGACTGCTCCTACTGAGATTAGCTAAGCCTGTGTCCTTGATCCAGCTGTATATAATAACCCTGCCTCCTCATTTATCTGTGCGCAAGAACCCTGCCTTCTTATTCAGCTGTATACAGTAACTCTGCCTCCTTGTTTATCTCCCCATACTAACCCCACCCCTCCTTCAGCTGCGTGCAATACCTCTCCTCTCTCTTCAGCTGTGTATGAGAAACACTGCAATCACATGGTGCTGCTCTCTCAGAGCGCCCAGCGCACCTGAGCCCACTGCATCCGACTGTCTGAGTGTCTTATTGTTGCCTTCTCCTCATTCCCTCCCTGCTCTGAGTCAGGCCAAGTCCCTGGGGTCATGCAAGAACTCCGTAGTCAACGTAACCATCTATCTCTTCCCTGGCAGGGTCTGGGACAGCCAGGCCACTGAGGAACTTTTTTCCTTTGGGCTTTCTCCATGTACTGTTTGCATAACTTCTGTCCTAGGTCACAGGGAATTGACAAATGTAAGAGTCAGATGTTCAGATCATTATACCTCACCAGTGTCCCGTTGCTTATCAAGTCAGCTCTAGTCTGTATAGAAGGTGTGGGTACCAGGAGGGAAGATGCCCTCGGCACCATCTTGACTAGCATAGAGAGCCATTGGTGTTCCCATTTCACAGATGGGAAACATCATGGCACCAATGAGAAAGTGGTAGGGTGACAGGAAATGATGCACTTTGACTATTAAGTCCTGCCCTAAAACTATGCCTCCTCCTCTAGTGTGGCAGCATACGGTTGATCATGGCTTTGAATTGTAATGTTACTGTTAAATCAATATTTGAATTTTTGACTACCCATGTGTAGTGGTTATTTTTACTTGTCAGCCTGACACAACTTAAAATCACCTGGGGAGAGCCTCGGTGAGAAATTATCTACATTGAGTTGGTCTAAGGGCATGTCTCTAGGGGATTGTCTTATTACATTAACTAGAGCGGGAAGACTATCCCACTGTGAGTGGCAGCATTCCCTAGGCAGGGATCCTGAGCTGTGTAACGTGGAACTAAGCACGAGCACGAAGCAGTAAGCCAGCATGCACGAATTCTCTTTGCTCCGCACTGTGGATGTAACAAGAGTGATGTGACCAGATGTTCTAAGTGCTTCCTGCCTTGACTCCTCTGCTGTGATGGACTGTCACTTGGAACTATGACTTAAAATAAACCCTGTCTCCCCCAAGTTGCTTTTGTAACAGAAATGGAACTAGGACACCAAAGTGTTGGCTCCCACTTCCCACCACTTACTTTAAGAGTTGGGACCCAGTGGGCGTGGTCTGGGATTAGGAGGCTATAGGACCATGGTCCCTTCCTCCTGACCTTTCTTTTGCTCCACCTCGTGTCCCTGTCACAATATGCTGCCTCACCACAAGCCTAAAGGCAATGGATCCAGACAACCCTGGCCTGAAACCTCTAAGACTGTAGGAATTCCTTATGAGTTGATTATGTCGGGTTTTGGTTACAGTGGTGCAAGGTGCTTAGCACAAACACTGTGTGTATGTTAGACATCCATTACATAGTGACGCTGAAGGCCACAGACAGCAACAATCTGCAAAGGGCATTCACAGTGGGTCAGTGTGGCTGCGTTGGCTAGTAGGAAGCATGGCTAACACGGGCTAACATGGCATGTATTTATGTTATGCCCATTACATATTATAGTTTCAGCAAAAGAAAATTGTACAAAAAAGAATAATTAAAAGCACTAGACAAGTGACTGACTGAATCACATGGGCCTTCAAAGACAGGAGTGGGGAAATGATCTGAGGTTTGACTCGCCAATCCTTTTTAGAGTTAATCCCACAACAGATTCCCAAATCTGACCAGATCAAATACCTTCCCTCCTCCTCCCTCCCCTCCTCTCCTTCCTTCTCCCTCCCCTCCCCCTCTTCCTCCTCCCTCTGGTTTTTCTTTCATCGTTCTTCCCAATTAGATAAAATACCCCAACCAGAAATGGCCTAAATTTAAGTGTGTAGTGAACTCCATCTTTGTTTACAACAGCAGGGTTTATATTGCTCCTAGGTTTAAATTTGATTTTATTTAAATAAATTGCATATGTATGCAATGTTAAAAAATTCCACACTTATTTATCTGTGAATCTTTATTTTAAACTAAAAGAAAAGCACATACAAATAAGTGTCTATTTTCCAAGACAGTGACAGTGAATATTTTTATAGTATTATGATGATACTAAAAATAGCACTTTTTTTTTTTACATAACAGAGTTTCTCTGTGTAGCTCTAGCAGTCCTGGAACTCAGATGACCTTGAACTTATAGCAAGCCACCTGCCTCTGCCTCCCGAGTATTGGCATTAAAGGCGTGCACCTCCACTGCCTGGTGCACTTTAATATATTACTTTCATGTTGCTAAAACTCTTGCAAGAACACTGCTTTTAGTTTTTAAAAGGTTTAGTCTGAATGGAAGACTGACTCATAAATGTAGGGGAGGGGGCAGGATTGGGTATAGTGGAAGCCTTTAGAAGTGCAGGGCCCACCACTACAGGGGGCTAGTAGGGACATATTTGATGCAGTTCCATTCAAGATGAGCACTGTTCTACTGCTGTGAAGAGACACCATGACCAAGGCAGCTCTTTAGGAAGGCAGCGTTTACCTGGGGCCTGCTTACAGTTCAGAGGTTCGGTCCATTATCGCCGTGGCAGGGAACAGGGCAGCAGGCCTGGCAGCCGTGGTTCTGGAGAAGTGGACAGCTACATCCTCATCCACAGGCTGAGAGAAAGAAAAAGAAACACACTGGGCTGGGTGTGGGCTTTTGAGAACCTCAAACCCCACTCCCAGAGGCACACCTCCTCCAAAGGGCCACACCCCCCAATTCTTCTAATTCTATCAAAACTCCTACTCCCTGGTGACTAAACCTTCAGATATATGAGCCTATGGGGCCATTCTTATTCAAACTGCCATGCTTGACTAATGAGCCACTCCTTTGAAATGGGATTCCTCTGTCAGTCAGCCAGGGAACATAAACCTGGCCTCTGTGCCTTGGGCTTCCAAAGGCATCCCACTCACCTGTCTGAGCCTAGACTGGGGAAGGTGTGAGACGGAGTATCTATCCACCAGAAATGGTCTTCAGGGGTGCCTGCAGAACCCATACAAGCAAGAGGCTGCATGCATTCCCAAGGGAGCGGCTGCTGGCAGCACTGGCACACAAAGTCCCCCTGAGAAAAGGAACCTGGTTATTTTAACTGGTTGCTGAGGAACACTGCTTTTTAATAGTTAATTGATTATCTGATTATAGATTACAGTGTAAGTTTCATAATACTTTGACAAACTCCCTTGTATCACACTCACCCATCTTCCTAAGCACTTATAACTACAAACTTCCTTACAAGCCCTGTAGTTCTGTCTTCTCTGGGATGTTATGGAATGGTCATTTCTTATACAGCCTTTCAGACTGAAGGTATATGTGGCACTTCCTTTTAATCTTTCCATATCTACCTAATTTAAGATAGAAAGACAGCCAGAAAGATGGCTCACGGAGAGAGACTTTGGCAGCTAACCCCGATGACCTGAGTTCAATCCCAGGACCCACAGAGTTTGGAGAACAGATTCATCTAAGTTGTCTTCTGATACACACACACACACACACACACACACACACACACACGCACACACGCACGCACGCACACCATGGCACACACACATGGATATAAGTAAATACATGCATGTGTAAGAGAAAAAAAAAGAAGTGGCTGGGGAGACGACCGAGCAGCTGACAGCTCTGAAATTACTCTTACAGGGAACCTGGGTTCCGTGCCCAACATCCACATGATGGCTCATGACCACCTGTAACTCCAGTTGCCAGGGATCCCATGCCCCCTTCTGCCTTTTTAGGGTGGTGCCCACACGGTGTACACACATATACAGGTACACATATGTAGGTAAGACATTCCTACATATGTAATAATAATAAATAAGGCATTTGACAAGAGAATTTTCAGAATCCTTCATTGTCAGGGGACAAGGTGGCTCAGGCTTTGTGCTTGGTGGTACTGGGTTTAATTTTTTTTAAATCTTTGTCATCTCACAGACAAAAACAGATTTCCATTTTAAGGTTTGGGATGGGGCTGGAGAGATGTCTAAGCTCACAGCCAGTCAAGATTTAAAGGGGTTTTGTTTGGTTGGTTGGTTGGCTTTCTGAGGCAGGGTCTCATGTAGCCAAGGCTAGCCTTGAACTCATTATGTTGCAGAAGCTAACCTTCAATCCATGATCCTCTGTCTCCACTTCCCAAGTGCTAGGGTTATAGGCATTTACTAGGTTGTAGTTTTTTGGTTTTGTTTTTAAATACAACTGAGTCTCCTGAAATCAGCCCTCCCTCCCTCCCTCCCTCCCTCTCTTCCTCCCTCCCCCCCAATTGTGAATTTGTGTGTGTTGTGTGGGTGTGTGCATGTATGCCTTTGTGGGTGAAGACCTGAAGTTGACATCAGCTATCTTTCTTGATTGTTGTCCACTTTATTTGTTGAAAAGGGTCTGTCACTGAATCCACAGCTCGCCAGTTCCAGCTAGTCAAACTAGCCAGCTTGCTCTTGAGACTTCCTGTCTCTGACTCTCAAGTACTGGGATGACAATGGCCTTTAGGCCTGCCTACTTTGAAGTGTATCCTGGGGATTCAAACTTTGGTCCAATACTTGTATAGCAAGTGCCTTATCTGCTGAACCATCTCCCCAGCCCCATTATTTCTTTGTTAATTCCATGTTTATATCATTTACCTATCTCCAAGGGAGTATTTTACTTTTGTTTTGTGTTTTTTTTTTTCAAAACAGGGTTTCTCTGTGACTGTGGAGGCTGTCCTGGAACTAGCTCTTGTAGACCAGGCTGGTCTCGAACTCACAGAGATCCACATGCCTCTGCCTCCCGAGTGCTGGGATTAAAGACATGCACCACCATCGCCCAACAGTATTTTACTTGTTTCTTGAGCAACAGAAGTAAATTTTTGTTCATGCAGGTTATCAGCCATTGCTCTGCATAAAGTGTCTAGGAGACAAAACATCCCTGACATGAGTATACCGAAATGTATCTCATCATTCCACAGCTGTTCAATGTTAGACTGGTCCTACTTCCTTGTTTTCTTTTTCCTCTCTCCCTCCTTTCCTTTTTACTTTCACCCCTCCCACTATTATATGCAACTTAGTAAATATCTATACAAAGGAGCTATCTCCTACAGCTGCAGTAGGCTAAGGGGCTATGGAGCAGAACATTATCTGCTATCACAGCATTAGCCCTGAATTAGTTAAAGAAACTTCAGAAAGGCTACCTGGTTGGTAAGAAATGGAACTGGACATCACTGTGTACAATCCCACCCCGTGGTCGTCATCACTGTCAGAACACTCATCCTAGAGCTGTGGTTCTCAACCTTCCTAACACTGTGACCCCTTAGTGCATTTCCTCGAGTTGGTGGTCTATAGCAGTGGTTCTCAACCTGCCTAACACTGTGACCCCTTAGTGCATTTCCTCGAGTTGGTGGTCTATAGCAGTGGTTCTCAACCTGCCTAACACTGTGACCCCTTAGTGCATTTCCTCGAGTTGGTGGTCTATAGCAGTGGTTTTCAACCTTCCTAATGCTATGATCCTTTAATTCAGCTCCTCATGTTGTGGTGACTCCCCCCACAGCCATAAAATTATTTTGCTGCTACTTCATAACTGCAATTTTGCCACTGTTATAAATCATTATGAATAAATCATGTCTGATACAAAGGATATCTAAATGTGACCCCAAAGAGGTCATGGCCTACATTTTGAAAATCACTGTTCTAGACACTCTGGAGATTATGGAATTAATTCATCGTGGAAATTTGAGACCTACACTACTCACTGCCAAGTTTATTCCCTGGGACAGGAACTGCACCTAGAAAAATACTAATTAGTATTATAGACCCAGTAACTAATGAAAATAGTTTTGTGTTTGGACATTTTACCTACGTGAATGTCTGTGCATCAAGTGTGTGTCTGATGCCCAAGGAGTATAGGAGAGGATGGATCCTTGGGGATTGGAGTTACAGGCAGTTATAAGATGAGGGGACTGGGAATTGAACCCAGGTCCTCTGGAAGTGCAGCCAGTACTCCTAACTGCTGAGCTATCTCTCCAGCCCCTATCTAAATATAATGGAATCTTAAAGATTTCTATATAGTTATTTTTTTCCTTTTTGCTGCCTATTACTTTCTTCTATGAAATCATTTCCTAAATAAAATTGTTACTGCTGAAATTAAATTAGCAATTAAACATAAATTAACTACTATAGTCTCTAGGAATGTTTTAGAGGAACTAAAGTATTATTCAGTTAGCAAGCTCAAATTGCATAATTTTATTTATGTTCACAATTTTCTACAGGTGTTATAGGCAGTTTTGTGTAGTTTTAAAATATTAGGAAGGTAATACATGATATCATCTTTTGCACAAAAGGAAATCTATAAAGACCCATCATGACAAGACTGATTGCAATCTAAGATGAGAAAAAATGTCATTATGCCCTTCCAATTATGATTTGATGAAGTCAGTGAAGTCATTAATGTTCCTATGTGAAATGACCATAAAACTATTGCTTGAATTTGGAGGTAAAGAAAGCTTTCTATTAAAAGTTTAGGGTTGGCTCAGAGGTAGAAACTTGCTTATGTGTACAAGCCCCTGAGTTCAATTCCCAGCACCCCCAAAACAAATGAAATATAAACAAAAACACCTCAAATGGTGGGGGATTCTTAACTTATTTAGTAAGATCAAATTCCACTGTAATGGGGATATTATACCTCAAAAGGAAGGCTCCCCCCTTTCACACCTTCACTGCCTTTTACACTTCAGCTATTTCTTTACCTCTTTTTTTTTAAAGACAATTTCTCACTATGTAACCCTGGCTGGTCTGGAACTCCATATATACAAGGCTGGCTTTGAACTCACAGAGATCTGCCTGCCTTTGCTTCCTGAGCACTGGGTTTAAAGTTGGGCACCACCACACCTGGTTCAGCTTCTTAAAACCTATCTTAGGAGTGAAGCACTCATTAAGAGCAACTCCTGCTCTCCAGAAGAGCTGGGTTCCAATCCCAGCTGGGTTCCAATCCCAGCACCTACATGGTGGCTTACAACCATCTGTCATCTGTAGCCTCAGTTCCAGGGGTTCTAACACCCTCTTCTGGCTTCCACAGGAACCAGGTCTGCATGTGTATACAGACAGATGTACACAAAACACTTGTACACAGAAAATAAAAAAATAAGGAGTTTTAAAACCCATTTTAAAAAGGTCACTTTGCAAATATTTAGTCTATGATGTGTCTCATGAATTGGCTTGACATTTTGTTCTCCAAATCTTAAAAAGTGTTGGCCTTCATCTGAATGTACAGAAGTAATACCCCTTTCCCCTTGTTCCTAGAGAGATATAATTTCCTTATAATGAACTATTTCTTGTCCCTTTAAAGTCTTTTAAAATGTTTTAAATTCTTTAAAGTATTCCTAATATCCTTTGTATGTGGGAGTGAAAAATGTGCTAAAGGCCAAAGTTAAGCCATTTGGCTTGTATATCTTTTTAAAAATTTTTTGTATCAATCTATTTTTTTACATTATAGTCCTTGTCCCCCCACCCTCATCTCCCATCTGCTCCTCAGAGAAGGTAAGGCCTCTCCTAGGAAGTCTACTAAGTCTGTCTCATCATCACATTGAGGCAGGACCAAGGTACCTCCGCATCCCCCCCCCACACCCCTGTGTCTAGGCTGAGCAAGGTATCTCTCCATATAGAATGAGCTCCACTAAGTCAGTTTGTGCATTAGTATTAGATATTGGACCCACTACTGGTGACCTCATATATTGTCCCAGTCGCACCATTGTCACCTAAATTAAGGGAGTCTAGTTCATTCCTGTGCAGGTTTACATTTGTCAGACCTGAGTCAGTGATCTCTCACTAGCTCGGGTCATTGGCTTGCATATCTTAAATGGCTTTATTTATGATTCTAGAATCTGGAAATACTTTTTGTTGGGGAAGTCCTGTATATATGTCAATAAAGCACTGTTGGCCAATAGGGAAGCAAGATAGGTGGGACTAGGAGTCCAGGAGGCCTCTGGGTAGGAGAAACACAGGGAGTCAAGATGTAACCGCCATAGGGATAAGAAGCCCAGAAACTTTTCTCCGGTAAGAGAAATACTTAGATCGGCAGTTATGGGGTAAATACTTAAGTCAGAGCTAGCCAGTAAGAAACAAACAAGGCCAACAGC